AACAATGGCTTCAAACTACAAGAGAGGAGATGCCATCTGAACATGAGGAAGAACTTCCTGACTGTGAGAGCCTTTCAGCCGTGGAACTCTCTGCCCTGGAGTGTGGTGGAGGCTCCTTCTTTGGAAGCTTTCAAACAGAGGCTGGATGGCCATCTGTCAGGGGTGATTTGAATGCAATATTCCTGCTTCTTGGCAGGGGGTTGGACTGGATGGCCCATGAGGTCTCTTCCAACTCTTTGATTCTATGATTCTATGACAAGTATTTTGGTGAAAGAGAGATTTCTTTGGCAACTGGAAGTGATTGGAAATGACTTGCTGTTAACTGCCTACTCTAGAAAATATTTCTCTCCTGGGAATAATATGGTTCTGAGATGGCAAAAGCATTGCCAAAGGTCTCTCCCATATATCTTTGCAGAGAAATAAGTTACTGGTGGGGACCCTGGGGCTGCAAAGCCACTCAATGAGCCACACTTGTCCATTCCTATTTTAAAGGATCAGATAAGAAATGATGTGAAAGATCTCTGCCAAAAACCCTGAAGAAGCACTGTCAAATAAACGTAAACAATGCTGAGCTAAGAGACAAAGAGTCCGACCTAAAAGGCAGCTTCAAGTAACAAAGGGGAGAAGAGGAAATAAAATATCTGTATCCAATCTGCCATCCATCTGGCCAGAAATTCCTGTCACATTCAGGTCTTGGGCATTAGTCAATGCCATCTGCAGAGCTTTCCCAAGCACTTCCATTGGCATGCCTCTTTAGTACTTTCCCTGAAGACGTTCCTGGTGCAGATCGTGCCCATTTGCATAAGCCAAATAAAATCTCAGGGTTCAGAAAAACATTACTTGGGAGGAGGAATCTCAGAAATCCAAGCTGCTTACCTGTTGCCCATGGAGAGACGATTTCCCCCTTTCTCCTTCCTGCTTTTCCCAGAAGATGCTCTTCTGAGGGTGACCCTATGGAGGATGAACAAGATGATAAATAAGGAAGACAAGGAAGAACTGGGTGCAGTTCTTGGAGATATGGGAAGGGGTGCCAGGATAATGCAAGGATGTGTCTCTGTCACCTACAATGTCTTTTTGAATGCGCAACAACCAGCTTCTGTGACTCACCCTAAGTCCAAGAACTTTCGCCGAGTTTTCTTGTCAAGCCCAACAGTGGGGCTCGCAGGCTCTGGTGGACTCGTGTCCCGGCTGTCATCTAGAAAAGGAAGGAAGGCAGGATGGTTGGAGAAAGCCAGCATTTTATCAAAAATAGGGGCAAACATTTGCAGCGTGAGATCAATTCCCTTCTAGGGTCTTTTCATCAGTTGCCCTCCTAGACTTTGGGATGACCTGCCGGAAAAGATTCGACTGCTAAATCCGCTGTCAAAATTAAAGATACAACTGAAGACCTATCTCTTTCAGAAGGCCTACCCAGTCAATTTTAACTGTGAATGTATTGATGTCTGTCTTTGATGTGTGTATTTTGATATATGCATTTTAATAGTGATGTATTGGACAGTCTGTCTTAATCATGTTGTACCTTGCCTTGATCCATTCTGTTAAATGCCATTCAGGATAGAAAAAGGGAGGCCTTTAATTCGACCTAGGGATCGGGGAACAACATTAGTAATTCCAAATCGGTCTCCTGATATGGTAAGTTGGTGTAACCAGGATGGCGGTCCCTCCGAATTGAAAGTGGTGCTGTTGAACGCCAGATCTGTCAATGGCAAAACAACTTTCATCCAGGATTTAATCCTGGATGAACGGGCAGATCTGGCGTGCATCACAGAGACCTGGTTGGACGAAGCGGGAGGTGTAAATTTGACCCAGCTTTGCCCACCAGGTTTCTCTGTGCAGCACCAACCGAGATCCGGAGGGCGGGGAGGCGGGGTTGCAGTGGTCTATAGAGATTCCATTCCTCTGACCAGGGCCCCCATCCCGCAGTCAACAAATTTTGAATGCGTCCACCTGAGGGTGGGTGACCGGGACAGATTAGGGATTCTGTTAGTGTACCGTCCACCTCGCTGCACTACAGTCTCCCTGCCTGAGCTAGCGGGGGTGGTCTCGGACCTGGCATTGGAGTCCCAACGGCTGCTTGTGCTGGGGGACTTCAATGTCCATGCCGAGGCCGCCTTATCGGGAGCAGCTCAGGACTTCATGTCTACCATGGCAACCATGGGGCTGTCCCAACAGGTATCTGGCCCCACCCACAGTGCTGGACACACATTGGACTTGGTTTTCTGCCAGGGATGGGAGGAAGGTGGCGGTGTTGAGGAGTTATCCATCTCTCCGTTGCCATGGACCGACCACCACCTGGTCAGCTTTAGACTCACTGCACCCCCTAACCTCCGCAGAGGTGGAGGACCCATTAAGATTGGTCCGCCCCAGGAGGCTTATGGATCCGGATGGATTCCTGATGGCTCTTGGGGAATTTCCCGCCACCTCGGTTGGTGATCCTGTTGATGCCCTGGTCGCTCTCTGGAATGGGGAGATGGCTAGGGCAATAGACACAATCGCTCCAGAACGTCCCCTCTCAAGTAGCCGAGCTAAACCAGCTCCTTGGTTTACCGAGGAGCTGGCAGCGTTGAAGCGAAAGAAGAGGGAACTAGAGAGCGTGTGGTGTTCGGATCCGAGCGAGCCAAATCGAACACGGTTTGTGTCCTTTTTAAGGGCATATGCCGCGGCAATAAAAGCCGCAAAGAAGACTTTCTTTGCGGCCACTATTGCGTCTGCAAAGAACCGTCCGGCTGAACTGTTCCGAGTTGTCAGAGGCTTGTTAAAACCCACCACTCAGGATGGGTGCCCTGATGACTCGGCAGCTTGCTGTGAAGCTTTTGCTCAGTTCTTTGCAGACAAAGTCGCTTTGATCCGCTCTGGACTGGATACCATATTAACGGCAGTCTCTGAGGATGTAACACGAGCATCTGCTTGTCCGGTTTTGATGGATTCATTTCAATTGGTTCAATCCGAGGATGTGGACAAGGTGCTTGGAGGAATGAGAGCTACCACATGCATCCTAGACCCCTGCCCATCCTGGCTTCTGAAGGAGGCCAGAGGGGGATTGGCCGAGTGGGTGAAGGTGGTGGTTAATGCCTCCCTTCGGGAAGGCAAAATTCCAGCCAGCTTAAAGCAAGCTGTGATAAAACCGCTGTTGAAAAAACCATCACTGGACCCCACTCAATTCGTCAACTATCGGCCTGGTTCCAATCTCCCCTTTTTGGGCAAAGTCATGGAACGTGTGGTGGCCTCACAACTCCAGGCATTCTTGGTAGACACGGATTATCTGGATCCGGCACAGTCTGGCTTTAGGCCGGGGCATGGTACTGAGACAGCCTTGGTCGCCTTAGTGGATGATCTGCGCCGGGAGCTCGACAGGGGGAGTGTGTCCCTGTTGGTGCTGCTGGACCTCTCAGCGGCCTTCGATACCGTCGACCACGGTATCCTTCTGGGACGCCTCGCGGGGATGGGTCTTGGAGGTACTGTTCTGCAGTGGCTCCGCTCATTCCTCGGGGGTCGGTCTCAGAAGGTGTTACTGGGAGACTCCTGTTCAACCCCACAACCTTTGTCTTGTGGGGTTCCTCAGGGTTCAATACTGTCTCCCATGTTGTTTAACATCTACATGAAGCCGCTGGGCGAGATCATCCGGAGTTTCGGAGTGCGATGTCATCTGTACGCAGATGATGTCCAACTCTGTCACTCCTTTCCACCTGCTACTAAGGAGGCTGTCGAGGTCCTGAACCGGTGCTTGGCCGCTGTGACGGTCTGGATGGGGGGAACAAATTGAAATTGAATCCAGACAAGACAGAGGTACTCCTGGTCAGTCGCAAGGCCGAACAGGGTATAGGGTTACAGCCTGTGTTGGACGGGGTCGCACTCCCCCTGAAGACGCAGGTTCGCAGTTTGGGTGTGATCCTGGACTCATCGCTGAGCCTGGAACCCCAGGTTTCGGCGGTGACCAGGGGAGCATTCGCACAGTTAAAACTTGTGCGCCAACTGCGACCGTACCTTGGGAAGTCTGACTTGGCCACGGTAGTCCACGCTCTGGTTACATCCCGTCTTGACTACTGCAACGCTCTCTACGTGGGGTTGCCTTTGAAGACGGCTCGGAAGCTCCAATTAGTCCAACGGGCGGCAGCCATGATACTAACAGGAGCGGAGCGCAGGGAGCATACAACTCCTCTGCTGCACCAGCTCCACTGGCTGCCGATTTGCTACCGGGCTCAATTCAAAGTGCTGGCACTGGCCTTTAAAGCCCTAAACAGGTTCTGGTCCAACCTATCTATCCGAACGTATCTCTGCCTATCAGCCCACCAGGACCCTAAGATCTTCTGGGGAGGCCCTGCTCTCTATCCCGCCTGCTTCACAGGTGCGGCTGGCGGGGACGAGAGACAGGGCCTTTTCTGTGGTGGCCCCTCGGCTTTGGAACGCCCTTCCCATGGAGGTAAGATCAGCCCCCTCGCTGATGGTGTTTCGGAAAAGATTAAAGACCTGGATGTTCGAACAGGCATTTGGTTAATTCGGTACAATGATGACTAAAAGACTGGTAATATGGACAATGAAATTGGATTATGATTTTAGTTAAGAGATGCATGGATTATTATTGACGGGCCAATATTGTATATTGTGTATTGTGTTTGCTGTTTTTTATGGTTTTAAACTGAATATTGTTGTTTGTTGTACTGTTGTAAACCGCGTTGAGTCGCCAATTTAGGCTGAGAAACGGCGGTATACAAGCACAGTAATAAATAAATAAATAAATATAAAACACCTGCAAAGTCCAAACTAGGTGGGTTGCTGTGAGTTTTCCGGGTTGTAAGGCCATGTTCCCAAAGTATTCTCTCCTGACGTTTCACCTGCATCTATGGCAGGCATCGTGAGAGGACCTCACAACCTCTGAGGATGCCTGCCATAGATGCAGACAAAACATCAGGAGAGAATGCTTCAGAAACATGGCCATAGTAAAAGGTAAAGGTTTTCCCTTTACATTAAGTCCAGTCGTATCCAACTCTGGGGGTTGATGCTCATCTCCATTTCTAAGCCGATGAGCCAGCATTGTCCATAGACATCTACAAGGTCATGTGGCCAGAAGGACTACATGGAGCTCTGTTACCTTCCCGTTGGAGTGGTACCTATTGATTTACTCACATTTGCATGTTTTCGAACTGCTAGGTTGGCAGAAGCTGTGGCTAACAGCAGGAGCTCACGCCGCTTCCCGGATTCGAACCTGCGACCTTTCAATCAGTATGTTCAGCAGTTTAACCCAATGCGCCACCAGCCCGGAAAACTCACAACAACCCAGTGATTCTGGCCATGAAAGCCTTCTGACAATACACCAAACTAGGTGTGTAATAAAATGGATCTTCATATGTAATAGTTGGGTGAACACATTTCTGTAATAATTGAACCCTCTCCTCTATACTTTCCATTTTAAATGGGAAAGGATGGTGGCGACCACAAATCCAAGTAAAAAAGTCAAGTCAAAGACAGCAACCAAGATGCCAAAGAGTGGCGAATGAAGCAGTGCTGCCCTAGTCAATCGTCCCATCTATGAGAGGATTTATCTTTTAATTGTAGAAGACTGGATGTCAACAGGTTTAGCTACTCATGTCATTGGGAGCCACCAAGTTTTTTTTTTATGTGGTGTCAACCAAAGATTTCGAAAGCTATAATTCCCCCAATCCTGGTGGAGGGGTTGTGGAAGTTGTTGTTCAAAAAAAAAAATCAATGTTACCAAGGACTGAAGTCCACTTCAGTACATCAGGCATCTCCCAGGACTGCTTGGGAGGAATATCCAGCAATATCCCAGCTTGGGGTGACAAGGCATATGCTTTCCCATGCTACCACCAGGCGCTTTGAGTTGGCAACTACCTTCGCTGTGCCTCTCTCTGCGTGCATAGATGGGCGAGCTATCTGAGCTGGGGCAGGACTTGGGAGAGGAGCTGGTTGGGGTGCTACCCAAGGCTTCCTGGGAGGAGGTGTTGGTCAGGGGTCGGTAACGGATGAGAGGCGAGGACGGCTGCTCGTCTTGCTCCAGCGACCTCCGGGTTGTTGAGGTGTCGAATGAGAACTCCCCAGTGCGAGTGAAGGGTGAGGAACCTGAGAGGGGTGAAGAGGCTTGGAGGGAGCCATGAAGAGGGGACCTCAGGCGATGGAGTGGGCTTCCACAGGTATCACTCCCCTGCAAGGAAAAGCAGAGAACAGGTAGAAAAGCCTCCAGATGACAGAATTATCCGAGCCAAAACAAAGCTTTCAGTATGTATACCCTTCCCAGAAGTCACATAAATTTTTCCAAGTTTATCAGTTGATATGTATGACCCCTGTATCTGAAAGTATCTTCAATTTTACCAACTTGCTCTGACAAAATATGACCTAAGACTTGTTTAGATCCTCCAGGGGTTTTATGGTATGTGCAATAAAGATGATGGAATGACAGGTATGGCCAGGCGAGGCCGTGAGGAACAAGGGACACTCACACTCCCTCACGTACAAGGCAGGACCAGTGGGATGCCACCACTGTATATTAAATATTTCTTTGCTGCCACCAAATATTAAGGTTTCCTTTGTTGACACCATTCATAGCCCACCTCCTTCACTAGAATGTTTAAGAAGCCACACAAACTCTTCAGGTGAATTAAAGCAAGAATATGAGGTTTATTTTGTTCTTGAACAGTAAAGATGAGCAATGGTTTCAATAAATTGTTGGGCTTTTCTTTTTCAGAGAATGGTCTTATAACTTGAGTTTCTTAAAAAGCAAAGTTCCACACACACAGGAATACAAACAGGATATTTTGAACCTTTTGAATCTTTCTTCCACACCAGCAGAAACCGGATTTAAAGTGGATTCATTCTCTAGTGAGATGAAGCACAAAAATATAGAGCCACTGTCAGTAAGGTTGCCAACCTAAAATGGCAGAGTCAATATAAACATACCTTTCATATGGCCAACTATCTAAAAATTCAAATGCCAAAGCATTTTAGGGAGGTATTATTATATTTATTTACTGTATTGTTTTAAGTGTTTTATTTAGCCTACTATATAGAACCGGCATGGGCAAACTTCGGCCTCCAGGTGTTTTGGACTTCAACTCCCACAATTCCTAACAACCTACTGGCTGTTGGGAATTGTGGGAGCTGAAGTCCAAAACACCTGGAGAGCCAAAATTTGTCCATGCCTGATATAGAGTGTAATCAAGTCTTATCAAGCCTTTTTGTTTGGTTTGGTTTTGTGATATGGCTAAGAGTTAATCAATAAAATTTACTACTGCAATGTATTTATTATGTCATGAAATGATGCATGTTTAAAAAGTGTGTCCCTAGCATGAAATGTTTTGAAAGCTCTGCCACAGAGCCTCACTGAAGGACCCAGCAAATTCCTAGGTTGGTTACTTTTCTAAGAATTTTATCCATTAAGACTCTATGGTAACTTGTGGCTGACCATTCATTTCAATAGGGTTCACTACTATTCTCATGGACAACATGTGGACAACAAGTTAAACATGAGCCAACAGTGTGAAGTGGCAGCTAAAAAAGCCAACGGGATTTTGGCCTGCATCAATAGGAGTATAGTGTCTAGATCCAGAGAAATAATGCTCCCCCTCTATTCTGCCTTGGTTAGTACTGTGTCCAATTCGGGGTGCCACAATTGAAGAGAGATGTTGACAAGCTGGAATGTATCCAGAGGAGAGCAACTAAAATGATCAAGGGTCTGGAGAACAAGCCTTATGAGGAGCGGCTTAAAGAGCTGTGCATGTTTAGCCTGCAGAAGTGAAGACTGAGAGGAGACATGATGGCCATGTATAAATATGTGAGGGAAAGTCATAGGGAGGAGGGAGCAAGCTTGTTTTCTGCTGCCCTGGAGACTAGGATGTGGAACAATGACTTTAAACTACAGGAAAGGAGATTCCACCTGAACATTAGGAAGAACTTCCTGACTGTGAGAGCTGTTCAGCAGTGGAACTCTCTGCCCCGGAGTGAGGTGGAGGCTCCTTTTTTGGAGGCTTTTAAACAGAGGCTGGATGGCCATTTGTTGGGTGTGCTTTGAATGCGACTTTCCTGCTTCTTTGGCAGGGGGTTGGACTGGATGGTCCAAGAGGTATCTTCCAACTCTATGATTCTGTGATTCTACCCATGTTTTTCTGTTTTCACAGTACATTGTGTTGTATTCCCTACCGATATGGGGGTCGTACTGTACATTAATACAAAGCAGGGAGGCTCATCAGGAGATACATAAGCTGTGATCTTATTGGCTATTTTTATCTATACTGGAATAGGCTGTAGGTATGCTGGCAGCAGAATTAAAAAGGATGTAGCTGCAGGGGGTGGTGGGAAGCCGAGAAACTGCTCCATTGACAGAGGAAGCTGATGCTACCCACAACGGATGGCCTTCTGGGGAATCCTTGAAGCTAAATACACTGTGGAAAGGCTTTCTCGGGAAATCTCGGGAAAATTACTTTGAGGCAGGCAGTGTTCCAAGGCAGCTTTCCCAGAGCACCTTTAAGCAGCAAATCACCTCCAGAATCCATACAGTACAATGATATTCTGGTTAAGTGAAGGGATGCTTGTATTCTAGCATGTCAATCTTAGTTGTATTCATTCATTATTATTCTATTAGAAGCTTTACTGCCAAGAAAAGGGCTAGTACTTGTGGGCTGCTGTGAGTTTTCTGGGCTGTATGGCTGTGTTCCTGAAGCATTCTTTCCTGATGTTTCACCCACATCTATAAGGAGCCCCCGGTGATGCAGTGGGTTAAACCCCTGTGCCGGCAGGACTGAACTCCGACAGGTCGCAGGTTCAAATCCGGGGAGAGGCGGCTGAGCTCCCTCTATCAGCTCCAGCTCCTCATGCGGGGACATGAGAGAAGCCTCCCACAAGGATGATAAAACATCAAATCATCCGGGCGTCCCCTGGGCAAAGTCCTTGCAGATGGCCAATTCTCTCACACCAGAAGCAACTTGCAGTTTCTCAGGTTGCTCCTGACATGACCAAAAAAAAAACCCACATCTATGGCAGGCATCCTCAGAGATTGTGAGGTCTGTTGGAAACTAGGCAAGCGAGGCAACATTCACACTTGCCTCAAACAAACAGACATGAGTGCTTTCTCCCACCCTGGACATTCCACAGAACCATCAGGGCGAGATAATCACCTCCCAACAGGCAGTACGAAGCCAGACTTTGAAACTGCTGGGCCATTAAATGCTAATCAAGGTTTGCCAATTGAAACATTCAAACCTACCTCGAACAGACAATAGTTTTTTTCTCCCACTCTGGACATTCAACAGATATATAAAACCCACTTGCCTAGCTTCCAACAAACCCCTCAACCTCTGAGTATGCCTGCCATAGATGTGGGCGAAACGTCAGGAGAGAATGCTTCTGGAACATGGCCATACAGCCCGGAAAACTGACAGCAACTCAGTGGTTCCGGCCATGAAAGCCTTCGACAAAACATTAAAGCCATCAAACACAAATGTACAAAAAAACCCGCGATTAAAAATAGTTTTTAAATATTGTTGTCGAAGGCAGCAACCAGCCAGGCTTTGAAGCTACAAGGCCATTCAATGATAATCAAGATAATCAATTGCGACATTCTTCTGGAACATGGCCATGCTTCTGGAACATGGCCACACAGCCCGGAAAACTGACAGCAACCCAGTGATTCTGGCCATGAAAGCCTTCAACAATACTTCTACGTGCCTTAACTTTGAGAAAAGGGATCATTTGCTGCTTTGCCTTAGATATAAGTGACTTGCTTATAAGTCATGATCTCCATGTCTTTTCATCCATGATCTGCATAATTCCTTCAAGTTATATATAAATAGCATCCTAATTAAGTAAGTAAGTAAGCACTTACAGCAAAAAGAAAAGAAAGTTGATTGCACCCCCAAAAAACCCAACAAGGGACTGGATTCTGTTGGTAGTCTCAACAAAAGTAGAGCCATTAAATCAATGGGTGGGTGAGTGGTGAGTCACCACATTTGCGAATGGTCTACTACCGTTGGCATACTAATACAACTCAGCCCACAGAATCCTATGGAGTCTTAATGGCTAATACATTTATTATTGCATTCACTTTCATAGACTGCAGCCAATTTAATTGCGGAAGCAGCAGGAAGTCCTGCCAGTGACAATTCATAGGCCTGAAAAATGGAAAGTCACAAAAACTTTTTAAAAATGTACGCTCATTTTAAAGGCATTTGGCACACTAAATCCAAAAACGACCTCCACCACTTGCAGTTTTTCCAGAACATGCTTTAATTTTTAATTATTTTGAGGTAATGAGATGTGACTGAATGAAAATAGCACTGACATTAGTCTTCACATTTGTGAAAATATTATGTGTGGTCTGATTTTTTAAATTATGTTTTCCAAATTCAGCACCCAAAATGCATTAAAGACGGCTACAATGGTGAGAAAAGTTTTCATTTTCATCACTGTGAGATATTCGCCTTTTCTAACCCTGCTGCTACTAACTAACACACACCCCAGCATTAGGAGTGCTATCATACTGGATTATCACACTGCCAAACCTATCGTGGGGCTTTCTTGGCAAGACTTGTTGACAGAGAGGTTGCCTTTGCCTTCCCCTCAGGCTGAGAGAGTGTGACTTGCCTAAAGTCATCCAGTGGGTTTCTACAGCTCAGTGGTTCCCAACCTGTGGCCCATGGAACACCAGTGGTCTGCAAGAATGAAAATATGGTCTGTGGCCTCACCATTACTATCCCGTCACCTTGAAACCATGCAGCAATGGGAGCAACTAATCTCACAAAACCCTCTTATAGTGCCGAGGCAAAAGGGATGTCGGGAGGGGAGAAGCTGACTACTCATAAAAGATTACTACTATCACATCAGCTCTAGATGATTAAATATGGTTTTCTGTGGGCAAGCAGATATGACTACTGGATGGCAAGTTTCTCTCCTTCATTCCCTCGCTCTTTCCTTCTCTTCTTCCTTCCTTCTCTGTTTCCTTCCTTCTCTCTTTCCTTCTTTCCTTCCCTCCCTCTTTCTCTACATTCTCCCCCTCCTTCGCTCCCTCTTTCCTTCCTTCTTTCCCTTTTTTCTTCTCTCCTTCCTTCCTTCTCTAACTTTCCTTCCTTCGCCTTTTTTCTTTTCCTCCCTCTTTCTCTCCTTTCTTCCTTCTCTACCTCTTTCCTTCCTTCCTTCTCTCTTTGCTTCCATGCTTCCTTCTCCCTTTCCTTCCTTCTTTCTTTCCCTCCCTCCTTCTTTCTTTTTTCTTTTCTTTCTTTCTTTTCTCCCCTTCCCTCCCTCTTTCTTCCCTTTTTTCTGTATTGTCATTTAGCTTTTCGTCATTTAGCTTTTTGGGGCTTTTAAAGTCCCTTCTCCTGTGCTTTTCAGTGTTTTTATGAGCAAAGGGCATACACTGGGTTGTTAGGTGTATTGTGACCAAATTTGGTGTCAATTCCACCAGTGGTTTTTGAGTTCTGTTAATCCCACAAACGAACATTACATTTTTATTTATATACTAGCTGTCCCCTGCCACGCGTTGCTGTGGCCCACATGGGGGTTCTGTGTGGGAGATTTGGCCCAATTCTATCATTGGTGGGGTTCAGAATGCTCTGTGATTGCAGGTGAACTATAAATCCCAGCAACTACAACTCCCAAATCTCAAGATTCTATTTTCCCCAAACTCCACCAGTGTTTGGGCATAGTGAGTATTCTTGTAGAGTTTGGTCCAGATCCATCATTGTTTGAGTCCACGGTGATCTCTGGATGTAGGTGAACTACAACTCCACAACCAAAGGACACTGCCCACCAAACCCTTCCAGTATTTTCTGTTGGTCATGGGAGAACTGTGTGCCAAGTTTGGTTCAATTCCATCTTTGGTGGGGTTCAGAATGCTCTTTGATTGTAAGTGAACTATAAATCCCAGCAACTTCAACTCCCAAATGACAAAATCAATTTTTTTAAGTGAAGGTCATACATTGGGTTGTTTGGTGTCTTGTGTCCAAATTTGGTGTCAATTCATCCAGTGGTTTTTGAGTTGTGTTAATCCCACAAACGGACATTATGTTTATTTATATATATAGATGATGATGATGATGATGATGATTATTATTATTATTATTATTATTATTAAGTGTGCTTCTGCAATTCTGCTATATTTTTGTGGAATCACCCCAAGTGAGGGTTATTTTTGAGCCTAACAACTCTTGATTCCTAACACATAGCATTGAGCCGTGGCAGGTAAAGTGGTGTCAAACTGCATTCATTCTGCAGTGTAGATGTGTCCAAAATCAGAGGAAGTGAGAGGACATCTCCATTTCATGACTGACCTTCTTCTCTGGGACCTCATCGCCTTCTGTGGAGCTGACGCTGTCTCTCAAACGGGACCGGGAAGGGCGCTGCCGCCTGCCCTTGGCGGAAAGCTGGGCTCGGGCCTTCTGCAAGCTGCTGTCCAGCCTCTGGGTCTCTGGAATCACATCATTAAAATCTGGGAGTGAAAGAGAGAAACGGGAAGGGTGGCCGTGGGGGACAGAAGGGGGGGGGGGAGCAGAGAAGAAGCAGGCAAGAAAGAAAGAGCGCATGACAGAGAGAAAGAGATTAAGGCAGAAGATGGCACAAAGAAGGAAAAGCCGAGTTGCACAAGGGAACGTGGAAGGCAGAGCAATAAGAGGCATAAAGAAGGTTGCCAAGTGACAGAGGCAACGTAAAAGTGGGAGGCAGGGAGGAGAAACGTTTAAAATGAGATGCCCAGAGTGTGGACACAGGGGAAGGGGTAGTGGAATGAAGGGTTAGAAAGGGAGGAGACACAGAGAAAGTGTTCAGAGAAGAGAGGAACACCCATCATCCCACATTACCCTTTCAAAACTAAGATCAGAAATGACCACCCATGATAACTAGGCTACACTAGGGGTAAATGCAATTAAGATGGCAATAGGACACATGAATGTTGTGTGAATCCACCCCCATAGAGATCTCTGTCTCTATGTGGCAAGATATGTGTTTGTTCTTTCCATGCCCTCTTCATATCAAAAGGATGCAGTCCCTAGATGAGATCCTACACTACTTCAGTGAGGTATAAATATCTATTGGGCCTCCCAAATAGAATACTAGTCCAGTATGTGAATAATTGTTCCATGTGCATGGCCAATGGCCTGTCCCACAAATATAAATAAAATATGTCCAGGTAATAAGTATCCACATGCTACAGGTTGAACGTCCCTTATCTGAAATGCTTGGAACCAGAAGTATTTTGAATTTTTCCAGATTTTGGAATACTATTTGCATCTACTTTAGACTCTCAGTTACCAGCATCCATGAAAGATGCTGGAGAAATGTAGTTTCTGATTGCTTGAGAGTTACTATTAAAATAAGCCTATCGAATACTATACCATACTATAAACTTAGTATTAATATTGAAATGCAGCACTTAAAAGAAAATTAAATCAAATAAAGGTAAACTTAACTTAAATGTACTTTTCCATTAACAATTGATTTTATTAATTTTTTTAGTATTATTTCTTTGGATTTTTTGTCAGTTGCCTGAGAATTCTGGTTACTAGAGTTCCTTTTAATTGAGAGTCGACTGTACTTGCAAAATGAGATATCCTGGACATGGGACCCAAATTTTAAAATGCAATTCATTTTTACTTCATATCCACTATATAGGAGCCCTGACAGCGCAGTGGGTTAAACCACTGAGCTGCTGAACTTGCTGACCAAAATGTCAGCGGTCCGAATCCAGGGAGCAGGATGAGCTCCTGCTGTTAGCCCCAGCTTCTGAGTAGATCAATAGATACCGCTTCTACAGGAAGGTAACGGTGCTCCATGCAGTCATGCTGCTACATTACCTTGGAGGCATCTACGGATAATGCCGGCTCTTCAGCCTAGCAATGGAGATGAGCACCACCCCCCAGAGTCAGGCTCGACTAGACTTAATGTCAAAGGGAAACCTTTACCTTTATCCACAATATAAGCATAGCTGGGAGGTAATTTCATACAATATTTCTAATTATTTGTGCATGAAACAAAGGCTGGGTACCGTGAACCATCAGAAAGCACAGCCATCGCTATATTAGAAACACACTTTAATAATTTTGAATTTCAGAATAGTTCGGACTATGGAATTCCAGATAAGGGATGCTCAATCTGTTCTTTGTGTACTTTAATGTCCATGAAATATTCCCAAAATGAACTCCCAGTGATGAGCAGGATGAATTATTATTATGATTATTTTTATTGTTATTGTTCCACTTTTTGTTGATTGAAATGTAAATGGTATCCAAAATATAACATATTTAGCTCAAATCTCTAACTGTCAGCAACAGTTTCAGGAGATCCATTTCAACATTTTTACATGAAGATAAAAATCCCATGCAAACTTTGATGAAAAGAATCCAATTGGTTGAGAATTTTTACAGTTCACATAGAATTTATTTATGCATGAAACAACCTTTTTCAGTACAGAAAAACAATTCTGTGCAGATGGTATTTTCTGTGCAGAAAAAATGTTGTTTTCGATTCAAAAAATGCTATAATTGAAAATTCATTGTATACAAAAATTTGCATGCAGTTGATTTGCACAGAAAATGGCATGTTCTGTACTGCACGGGAAAAGCTGTTTTCTATGAAAAAAATGCACATTTTGTGCTGATTAAGTTTTAGATTGCTTTGAAAATTGTATATTTTTTTTGTTGCAGGGTGTTGTGGGAAGCTAATTGCCAGAAGAATTAATTGGTTCCTCCGAGAAGAAGAAATGCAGAGTGCAACTACACTATAGAATTAATGCAGTTTGGCACCACTTTAACTGCCATGGCTCAATGCTATGGAATCCTGGGTGATAAAGTTTGGTGAACCACCAGCATTCTTTAGCAGTTTTAAAGACCTTGTAAAACTGCAACTCCCATGACTCCATAGCACTGGGCCATGGCAGTGAAAGTGATATCAAACTGAATTAATTCTATAGCATAAATGTACTCTAAGTTGTGCTGTTCTAGGACTGTAATAAAGATTTGTTGTTTGTACGTACTCTAATTGAGAATTATATCCTAGCTGCAGAGTCAAGTCCTTCCCAAAGTAGCCAGTTACCATTACAACTATTAATTTAAACAGTAACTCTTAAGCCAGTTAGGCTTAAGTAAAAATAATGTTGCACGATTTTGCGTGGACTGCAATGAGAAAAAAATCCCTCCCTTTTTACTCAAGATACAGAATTAGGGACGCTTGGCTCGAGAGCAGTACGTGTGAAAACCATCTTGGAGTCGTCGTGGACAACAACTTAAACATGAGCCAACAATGTGATGCGGCAGCAAAAAAAGCCAATGGGATTTTGGCCTGCATCAATAGGAGTATAGTGTCTAGATCCAGGGAAGTCATGCGACTCCTCTAATCTGCCTTGGTCAGACTACACTTGGAATATTGTGTCCAATTCTGGGCACCACAATTGAAGAGAGAGATTGACAAGCAGGAATGTGTCCAGAGGAGGGCAACTAAAATGATCAAGGCTCTGGAAAACAAGCCCTATGAGGAGCGGCTTAAAGAGCTGGGCATGTTTAGCCTGCAGAAGAAAAGGCTGAGAGGAAACATGATAGCCATGTATAAATATGCAAGAGGAAGTCATAGGGAGGAGGGGGCAAGCTTGTTTTCTGCTGTCCTGGAGACTAGGATGCAAAACAATGGCTTCAAACCACAAGAAAGGAGATTCCACCTGAACATTAGGAAGAATTTCCTGACTGTGAGAGCTGTTCAGCAGTGGAACTCTCTGCCCCAGAGTGTGGTGAAGGCTCCTCCTCTGGAGGCTTTTAAAACAGAGGCTGGATGGCCATCTGTCGGAGGTGCTTTGAATGCGATATTCCTGCTTCTTGGCAGAATGGGGTTGGACTGGATGGCCCATGAGGTCTCTTCCAACTCTACGATCCTATGATCCTGTTTTATACCAGGAAATTGGAAAGATTTAGTAAATGAATGCCTGGAATCACAAGTGTAGCACTTCAGACTTTGAAACTGTCCTGTTTTGATGGATTAAATGAGTTTATACAACATTTACTAATTTGGCAGCAAGCCACATAAAACATACTGTCAAATGTTTATTCCTCCCCATCTGATATTGTCTAATGTTGACATGCGCTGCAAATTGGCTGTCAAAAGAACCGACTGTTGCAAGTCAGATACCACCCGATGCTGGCTGTCACACAAACGGATCCTTCTCATACATTCATGTGCTTATAACAGAACTATGATACAGGTCTACTCCGGATAATTCTTATTCAACCTGTAATATGATAATTATTTTTCTATTTATTTATTTGTTTTTGTGTTAGGAGCGACTTGAGAAATTGGAAACCACTGATTTGGAGTAATGACATTCTCTTCCTCATGCAAAGAAATAGAGCATATGTACAGTTGGCCCTCCGTATTTGCAGGTTTCATTTTAATGGATTTGATTATTAATCATAACTTCTTTGATTAATATGTTCTCTCTATGAGCCTCTAGATTCCCCAAGGTGATTCTACATTCAACTTCTTTTGCTTATGCTGGAGGACTTAGGACTCCTTTCCTGCTAGTGTGCCTTTAAATCTTTCAAAATCTTTCCATTTCTACATAGTGATTATGTGTGTGTGTGTGTGTGTGTGTGTGTGTGTGTGTGTGTGTGTGTCAGAAGCAACTTGAAGCCCCCGGTGGCACAGTGGATTAAACCCCTGTGCTGGCAGGACTGAAGATCGACAGGTCGCAGGTTTGAATCCGGGGAGAGGTGGATGAGCTCCCTCTATCAGCTCCAGCTCCTCATGTGGGGACATGAGAGAAGCCTCCCACAAGGCTGATAAAACATCAAAATCATCCGGGCGTCCCCTGGGCAACGTCCTTGCAGACGGCCAATTCTCTCACAACAGGATGCTCCTGACATGACAAAAAAAGGAAGAAGAAGAAGAAGCAACTTGAGAAACTGCAAGTCACTTTTGGGGTAAGAGAACTGGCCGTCTGCAAGGATATTCATTGCCCAGGATGTTTTCATGTTTTACCATCCTTGTGGGAGGCTTTTCTCATGTCCCTGTATGAGGAGCTGGAGCTGACAGAGGGAGCTCATCCACGCTTTCCCTGGATTCGAACCTGCAATCTGTCAGTCTTCAGTCCTGCCGGCATAGGGGTTTAACCCACTGAGCCATCAGATGCTCCCTATATTATCTATTGTGTCTCCAGGAAACTGGTGGATTGAGAACCAATAAGTGAATGCTAAGTAAAAATGGAAGTATTGGATGACTCTGGGTGCATCTGCACTGTAGGAATAATGCAGTTTGACACCACTTGAACTTTTTCTCAGTCTCAAAAGTGATTCAAAATCACCCCTTTACATAGTGACATTCCAGACTAACCCAATAATATATTTGAGTTCTGTCAACACAAAAATGACCATATTGGGGAAACTGTGCTGCTTATAAGGTGGGTTTGGTGAGGCTGTATTGGAAGATGTAGCTATGTGATACATGTACAAT